CACAAAATTAAATGTCGTCCTCTTTTCGAATGACATTTTCTACTCGACTGCTTCTTGAAATGTTTTGATTTATTAAACACCGAATGCTTTGTATTATTGTTTCCGATAGTGTATATACATATACCTGTACTGTTTTTGTTTTGTGTATCACTGCCTACAATGAACACAATCCCGTATAATCAAACGACATTTGAACTGGATCGGTGAATCAATAGGTATACTGTAATTACGTAATAAGAAACGATGGTATTGATCGACTTATTAAATTTCAAACTCCTGCTACGAAAATGACGCATAATTATAATAAATAGGACCGTTCCCCTGTTAAAGTTACACCTGGGAGGCGTACCCGGAGAACGGGGTTCAAGTGTAAACGTTTCGTATTGGCTTCGACAATATCTGTACAGACATGTGACTATTACTATTGATTGTGTTGGGGGTATAGGACATACCAGCTAACACTACACGACTGTTACACTTACAATATCAAAGGGATTCATTTATCATATACAGTGTCGTTACAGAAGGTGAGTCAAACTTATTTAATTTTCACATACCTTTCTCGCTGATTTCGTCTACGAAGGTAATGTTGTCGTTGTTATGATATTTTTGACAAAGGACTAGAATCTAGCGTTGCTTTGAAGCATTGCTGATTTGTCATTTACCACCGACCACACGCTGAATAATTGTGTTCTTGTTCTTATAATGCTGAAGATTTTGACACTTTCACCGCGAGTCTATTTAGTACATTTTTCATTTTTAGGCAGTTTTTACGTCTTATTTAGCACGATATATTAAATTTGATTTTTTTCGGTTTTAATTTCGCAGTCAATCATGTGTCTACTGAATTCCATAATCCCAAATGTTTTCCTATATCTGTACGTTTATCTACGACAAAGTGAAGTGTAGTTTAGCGTCATGGTGCGGATGACTTTCTGAAGTCTTGCATTTGTCCATCCTCCTGTGTTTGTCATTTCGTTTCCAATCTTCGTGTAAGTAAACTTTATTTGTAGTTATGGATACCCGGTACCTTATGCTCAAACATGTACTAGCGGGGTTTGACACATAACACATATTTCTCTTTCAGTATAACCTTGTCATATAATTTCAGAAAATTAATGTTTAAAAATCGATGCAAACTGTATACTTGACACTTGTTGAATTTAAATATCCTTCAAGCGTTCCAAGCGCAACACTATGGAATATGATCTTTGATCCTACTCGTGTGTGAAACTAAATTTAAATCCCCCATATAAAGAATAGATTACTATCTTTAGCTATTAAGACAGGTATTCAATCCGTCTTATTATTTCCTTTACCTCACAGACGACAAAACTTGACGTGGCTTAGGAACTTTCGAAACAGACTCTGGACTATTTATCCGGATTTATTCTGCACTCCGCTACACCTGAACACAGACGGTGTCAAAGCCATTGTTTGGTCATGCTTACTAATGTCTCCAAACTGAAATAGTGTTCAACATCGGGCCTTATTCTCAATGTAATAACGATCACATACTATTTCGATATGAATTCCGCGTTACAACACAACAGCAACGTCTCGGAGGACATCATGATACGGCAGTTGGTCAATATGGCGGCGTTTTTGTTGTTCTGTCGGGGTGTATTTTCTTATTCGTTCTTTTTTAGTTTTCTTTTGTTTGATTCTTGGTTTTATTTTGGTTAAGAATGTAGTTCACATTATCATGCATACATGAAAAAATGTCGTAATCCGATTCTACCTTAGGGTAGGAGGGTGGGGTTTTTGCCTGTTTCTGCCACCTATCATCAGATAATTTTGTGGTTTTGTATGATTCATTTCGGGTACTATTTTGTCCGTATGTTTTTGGCTAACAGTCTAGTTCGTGGTTCATTAAGGGTGTATTTTGTACACGTGTACTAACGCAACTTGAGACATACAGGCCTCTGTATAGCCAGTGATCCACAGTATACAGACGGGTATTACCGGAGATTGTACTCCAGTTTGACATAGATTGGATCAATAATCTGATCGATTTTTATCAACTTATCTTGATTTTAACATTTTGATTCTGACCGTGAGAATGGTTTACAGACCTAACTAGTGCGTTATCGCCCGAATCCGTTAACCGCTCAACAATTCGCATCTAGTTTTCAAATTTAGATACAAAAAAAATGGAGCTAATACCTACATTAAAATATTGGCAGAAAGCACAAGGGTATACATACCTCTTGGCACCGTAATCCCGTGGATTTATCCGTAACCGTAACAGTGAGTCACTAGTTCCCGTCTGAGGGCCAACTGCCAATAAATATGTGGGTGGTATGGACAGGAAGATCTCTGACCACAGGGGCTGGTCACATTTATATATTAGTCGTAGGTATAGGACAAATTTAGCGGATATCTAACAGGTGATGTATATCCAGTCTAATCAGTAATATCTAAAGCGTTACCCAATAACTTTAGCGTAATCACTCAGCACGAGTCGAATATTCTGTTTCTCCTTTAATAGGATATACGTGTACATACAGACGGCGTGACGTCACGTCGCATGATGTGATTTCCGCTTGTTTTAAAAAGACCTAAAAAGAAGCTAGAAGTGATGAAACCTATTGTTATTGAATTCAGATTTTCAGATTTTTATTTCTCTCAAACATACAAAGTAGTAAAGGATATATTATGACACCACTGCGTCCATTACATGAATATTTTATACATATACACACATACATAATATAAATAATGTTATACTAAGAATTACCTTTGCATTGAGGAGACAATAGTAAACTGACGATAATAGCCTCAATTCTCCGATTCGTTTGTATAAAAACAAGCCGAATTTCTGACAAATTAAAAGTGTGTTAATTAAAAAACATGTATTGTGTTAAAATATATAAAGGGTCACTTTAAAGTCAGATTAGATAGCCATTACATATTACGAGAGACAAATACTTATGACATTGCTTCAACTCATATGGGAAATAGTGGCTTGTGAATCATTTATTACATCGTAACGATTCCATTACCGTGTGTATTTTATATCAATGTTGTATAAAGCTGCCTTTGAAGAATTCCCATGTTACAAATCCATTATAAATGCACAATTAGTAAAAATTTACCTGTGTATTTATTTTGTATGACGGTCCAAGAATTCTGCATTGTGTAAACGTTTTATGTAGGCCTGTGTATCATGTTTATCAAACATCTACCAAGGGACGAACCTTCAATCTTCATCAAGGCTTGTACATTGATAATAATCAAAAATACCAAAAACATCGATTATCGTGCTCTCCGAAATATGATACTGAAAATGCAGCTAGCACACTAAATGCCATTGTTTTGTAATTTCGTATACGATATTGATTAATTCACACAGGGAAGAATAATGCAGTTCACTTAAATATACCATCCAGACACCCAGAAATAGACATGCATGTTGGAGGGAATTGAAACTCTTAGTTAGGGCGTTTTATGTTTCCGGAAAAAAGTTCATGATGGCTTTTTCAGGTGTGTTTTATTTAACAGAACATGTTCTGTTGATGTACTCAGCTTTATAGGAAATTTTTCCGGAGCATCGTCCGGGGCCAGTATCATCATCTGTTCCTATAAAGGAAAGTTTCCGGAGTATCGTCTGGGGCCAGTATCATCATCTGTTCATATATAGGAAAGTTTCCGGAGTATCGTCCGGGGCCAGTATCATCATCTGTTCCTATAAAGGAAAGTTTTCGGAGTATCGTCTGGGGCCAGTATCATCATCTGTTCCTATATAGGAAAGTTTCCGGAGTGTCGTCCGGGGCCAGTATCATCATCTGTTCCTATATGGGAAAGTTTCAGGAGTATTGTCCGGGGCCAGTATGATCATCTGTTCCTATATAGGAAAGTTTCCGGAGTTTTTATCGTCCGGGGCCAGTATGATCATATGTTCCTATATAGGAAAGTTTCCGGAGTATCGTCCGGGGCCAGTAACATCATCTGTTCCTATATAGGAAAGATTCCGGAGTATCTTCGGGGGCCAGTATCATCATCTGTTCCTATATTAGAAAGTTTCCTGAGTATTGTCCGTGGCCAGTATGATCATCTGTTCCTATATAGGAAAGTTTCCGGAGTATTGTCCGGGGCCAGTATGATCATCTGTTCCTATAAAGGAAAGTTTCCTGAGTATTGTCCGGGGCCAGTATGATCATCTGTTCCTATATAGGAAAGTTTCCGGAGTATCGTCCCGGGCCAGTATCATCGTCTGTTCCTATATAGGAAAGTTTTCGGAGTATCGTCCCGGGCCAGTATCATCATCTGTTCCTATATAGGAAAGCAATGATCATCATGATGGGAAGCATGCTGTTTTTTGTTTTTCGATAACTGCTGTACGGCTTCTAGCGTACACAGATACAATACACACTTCCTACTGACTATTTAATTATTTAATGTGGAAATTAGCCTCTGGTCATTAAATCTATACGGTTGTTGTTTAAACAACATAAAATGCAATCCATTTGGCGACATTTACCTGTGGCGTCTCCTCACACAGACTTGCCGATGAAGTAATTTCCGGTGAGATGGAAGTCCTTTGTGTAAAAAAGTGTTTTTAGAAATCATTTCGAAATAATACATGTCTGGCTTTTGTGTTTTCTTTTTGTGTCCTTGACAACGGGAAGACAACCAACACGGTACACCTACCTTTATCCACACCAGGTCATGCTGAAGGCGTGAATGTTTTTTTGTGTTGTTCTGTATATTTCAAGTACATATATACACAAGGAACATCGTTTTTCCATTAGGACATAAATATGTTTTCATTCTCTTTTAATTCACTCCTGTCAGCTCGGGTATAGTTTAGATTTACATAAGTCTGTATAACAATACATTGTATGTCATTCCGCTGGTCACACGTTAACACGTAATCTGATAACGCTTTCTCTGGTGTCTTTCATTCTTACAATAATAAACAAGTTAAAAGAAAATATATTCCTGTGATCATTGTATATATATATATTGTAAACTATCGATTTCTTTTCTCATTTCAGATGAGCCTCCTGGCGTAGCTGAGAGATAAAGAGAATCTTTATACCATCTGTATTCATCAGCGTAGCAAGATGAGTGCACGTCGCCGGAAGAAGGATGAAAAGCCTCCGCCTGCAACTGGACCCGGAAGTAAAATTATATCGCTTCCGGATCCGGTGAAAAAACACTTGAAAAAAATTGAAAATACAAAGAAAATCCATCTAAAATTTGGAACTGGGAACTGGAAGTCGTTACCAATAGAGGTATACAGTAACGAGGAACTCTTTGAGCTTTCTGTGAGATTTAGTGCTGAAAACAATCGTCTGAAACGTCTACCAAAAGCCATCGCCGCCCTAGAAAACCTGGAATATATCAATGTGCAAAACAACTCACTCTCGGCGTTCCCAGGATCTGTGTCACGTATGAAAAAACTTATAACTTTAGATATTGAAAATAATAGCATTAAAAAACTACCTCCAGCGATCCATAAAGCCACAGGACTGACCACACTACTAGCCCGCAACAATAGGATACGCGGGTTGCCAAAAAATATCGGCAAGTCGCCATCATTGGCATATGTGGACGTTTCCGGAAACTTGATTAAATCTTTCAAAAAAGGTGTTTACGAAATGACAGGGGAGCTGAATCTATCTGACAATCGCCTTACAGAAATGCCTACGGCTGCCGTGAAGAAACCAAACATTCAACGTCTTAATTTGGCGCGAAATGGGATCACATACATGCCTGACAACATCGATAAACTACAGCGTCTTGTGTGGCTAGATCTATCCAACAATTCCCTGTCAGAACTTCCCGCCCAAATCGGAAGTGTTAAGTATTTGCATTATTTAAACCTCAGTCACAACTGTCTGAAAGCTCTCCCGGAACAGATATGTAACCTTGGTTACGCGTTAGATACGCTGAATATTACCCATAACGAGATCCCAGTTTTACCTGATGATATCAGCCTCTTACAGAAACTGCGGGTCCTTGACGTGTCCCACAACCAGGTAGAGTACGTACCCGAGGGGATCCGAGAGGTCCATTCCCTACACACTATCAATATATCACACAACAGGCTCAACTCGATGAAGTTTGCGGTATACCTGAAGACTCTAGAACACCTGTACCTGTCCAACAACCAGATTGAGGTTGTACCGGAGACCATAGACAGTATGAAGTGCCTCGTCACCTTAGACGTGTCCCACAATAAGATAAAGGAACTCCCGCCAAGTGTGGGCTACATCAAGACCATCAAATCTCTCAACGTCGGCAGCAATAAACTGTCGGTGCTTCCGGACACTATCGGTCAGGAGCAAGTCCTAACGTTACTGGACATCAGCAATAACCGTATTGCCGCCCTACCCACCGATCTGCGCAAACTCAGGAATCTTGAAACGTTCGTTTTTAGTAATAACGAAATTGCCGCCATGCCAAAGTCAGTCGACTTCCTGTACCAGCTACGAACATTGGACGCGGCTAGTAACGGACTCACTGAGCTCAACCTCCCAAAAACACTGACTAATCTCAACCTTTCGGACAATCCGATGATGGTAAATCCGACTGACCACAAGTCTACCATGGTTGTCATGGGAGATAAAGACCATCTGAGGAACCTGACATCACTAGCGTTGTGTAAATTAGCACTGGACGAAATTCCTCCCAGTGTCTTCAATCTTCGGTGCTTGAAAAATCTAAACCTCTCTAACAACTCGCTCAAGGGCCTGAGTGATAATATTTGCAAACTCAAATCCTTAGAATGCTTGGAAGTAACGCACAACGAACTGGCCTCACTCCCTGCTAACATCGGGGGCCTGAAGAAACTGCAAAGGTTGCAGGTCAATAATAATGGGATCGAAAAGTTTCCTCCCAGTCTGGTCAAACTCATTTCTCTCTGTCAGCTGGACATGTCGTACAACAAGATGTCACTCCTCCCAGATAACTTCGGTGACCTCAACAAGCTCACTCAAATGAACGTGTCCAACAATGAATTATTGACCTTCCCTGTTGACCGTATTGACGTCCTAGCGTCTCTTCTCGAACTCAACATCTCTAAAAATCACATCAACAATATGCCGATGGACTTTCCCTATCTTTATCGACTAAAGGTTCTTCACGCCAGCAGTAATGACATCAAAGGTATTCCGAACGATATCGATAAAATGAAATCTCTCGAGTATCTGGATTTATCGGACAATGTTATCGAAAGCCTGCCCGAGAGGATTTGTAAGCTAGTGGCCCTGAAAGAACTGGACGTGGCCGATAACAAGATAATGGCTGTCTGGCCTAAAGCTTGGGCAAACCTCACCTCGAAAATTGTGGTGAGAGCGTCCGAGCAATCCTCGTATAAGTCTCGCGAGGCACGAGAACGACCGACAGATAAAGTGGCCGAGACCCAGATGAGTCCAAAAACTGGGAGGAAGGGAATGAAGGGCAAAAAGGCAGTGGCTCCCATCGGCACTCCGCCTTCAAAACCCAGGTCGATGAAATCTGCTCCGCCTAAATCGTCGTGACGCGTTGAGTGAAGTAGTAGTGACGTTATGCAGGAGTTTCACTCATTAGAGACTTATATAACTATATTTGTAGAATTAGTCGGTAGTACGCCTATCCGCATGCACACGCCCCACTATGCTATCTTTTTCCTCATGACTAGAATTGACCATCCGTCATATTTTTGCAACTAAGTGCTGACACTGACACTGTAAACTACTGAAACGAACTTTGTAGTTATCAACGGTATTCTCGATTTTTAGCTCACCTGCCCGAAGGGCAAGTGATATATTGTCATGGTGTGGCGTCTGTCGTCCGTCCGTCCGTCCATCCGTTAATTTTTCCTTTAAATGACTTCTTCTGAAGAATGGACAGTCTAGAGTCATAACATTTGGCCGAAAGCTTCATTTGTAAGAGCCTGACAAAGTTTGAGAACCAGCTGGTAGCTGCTTGGGATAGAGCCAACAAAGTTTTAGAAGGAAAAAGACCTCGAGCTACGTACAAGGTTACAGGGACAAATATGTCAAACACTTCAAACAACCTCTTCGGAAGAACCGAAAAGCATAGAATCATATAATAATATTTGGCTGGTAGCTTCAACGGATTGAGCCGATTGAAATATTTGTAATACAGTATAATATTTAATGAGAATAATTTGCTTTGACTGCTTGAATATCCAAGTGAGCGATACAGGCCCTCTGGGCATCTTGTATTTTATATAGCCAAAGAGGAGAAGATATGACGTCGAGCAGATTCGGGCATTGCTATCAAAATTAAGCGATAAACCCACCAATGGTACCAGAATCGTTATAGAAATAGCACAGACAGTGACAGTAGTTCCTCTTACTTGGACAAAGATGATTGCATTCCCCATCGTCTGTCAATCAATCTATCCTCTTATCCCATACCGCTCTCCACCCCTCATCCATCCACTATCGTTCTACAACCCCCTCCCTCTCCCACTCCCTTGCGCGTTCGCCCTTACCCAAATGACATTCTGCGCAGGATATCAAGTTGGACCTCTAAGTGGAGAAGTGTTACTGCAATACCGGAAGTCGTGAACAGAAAGGTCCGCCGTTCTTTGATCTCCCTTCCCAAATATTGGACAGCAATGTTGGTGTCATTTGGGACTCAATGGCAACAGCCAGTCTCTACCTCAGAACGTTCTCCGTGGTTTCTCTGCAATAACTTCGATTGGAGTAACCGGCTGATATTCGTTACTTAACGCCAGTTCACAAACATTGTTCTCAATGGTTCTTATAGTAACCAAACCAATGGTTGTTATCGTTACCATGTCAATGTCAAGTCGGTATATTATATATATATAAAGGAAGGATGTAGAAGGGTAGTTTACCATATCAATGGATGTAATAGTAACCTTGTCAATGATTGGTCAATGTTAATTTTGTATTACTTTGATAAAGTTATAAAAATATAAAAAATATAATCATGTGTAAAGTAATTGATCTTACGCTTATTGCAACTGGGCAATTAGATATTGTCAATTGTTGTATGTAATTACAGTGTATATTAAACAGGTGTTAGGGTGGACATTTGCTATTTACTATTATATTAACCTCGCCTTTTTAATGCTTTAAGTCTTTACGAAATTAGTGGTGCTATCTACATTAAGCATTGGATTTGTTTAGTTTAGGAAATAGTCATTGTTCTGTTAATGAGGTACCTCGTTGTTCCGGACGCTTTGATTTCCAAGATTAAAGCTGGAAAAATATTCGAAATAATGCAACATCAATTTTAACAATTTTGAATGGCGTCCGTTTGGCGACTTACTGTCGTCATATTTTGTCTGGATTAACGAGGTATTGCTACATGTTATACTATAAAAGATTGGTTTGACAGTTGTGTAGATTTAATGTGTAAAACCTTGTTAAACTGTCGGTTTGCAATGTTTTTGATATTCGTTGATTTCAATTAAAGGGAAACAACTTACATATGTCTGGAGGATTGACATAGGCCTGTTAAAGATTCACGTACGTTTTCCGAAGACAACAAATTTTTAAGAAAAAAATTCATAGCTTAATATTTTACATTATTCCATAAATGCTTTCATAAGAAAAATAGACATTTAAGGAATTTCCTTGTGTTATGAAATGTTAGGGAAACTTGGGCCTTGAATATTACAGAATTTAAGGCAATTAGTCTCTTGCTTGTCAAGGTTATTGAAAATTAAAAAGAAAATAAACTCTTCTATACCACCTGTTCTCACCAGAAAGTATCGTGAACCATGTATGGGTCGCACTGACGTTTTGCAGGATGTTTCAAGCAAGTGCTACTACAATGTGTATGTATTTTGAAATATTTTATTTACATCCTTTTTTTATTCTTCTACGTTAGTTCTAGCTTACCTGACTGAATTTCAGGTAAGGAGTCGGTTACATTTTCTCAGAATACCTGTAATATAAGTATTGATGTATATAGTGTATCATTACTATCATTTAACTTCGTCACGCGATCCAATGTATGCGTCGCCCCTGAACTTTCTGGTACCATACTTTCTGTTAGATCATGGTGCTAATTATATATAGACGGGGAAACCTTGCCCACAAACTACAAATAGTCTTACGGATCTCTATCCTTGTGTGTCTGTTATAAACCTAATAATGAAGTATCAATATGTCCTTAAATGTCTATAAGTACCATTTTAAACGTTTCCGTGATTGCTTGAATGCAGATGCTTTTGACACCTGTATTTAATTGTTATAAGTTATATTCACTGATGAAAATAACATCTTACCTGCTGATTTTATATGAAAAAACACCTCTCAGAGATACCATTTGCCAAACACTTTTAAAAACGGGGTTTTAACGTTTCCTTACGCACTGCTGTTGGTATGAATTTTTATTTTTTATTTTTCATAATTAATTTCACTGCGGTTAATCATATTCACTACAGGAAAAATGTTTAACTAAAAAGTTATGCATTGATAACTTTCTTTTATATGGTAGATAGTTTATCAGTTGATATCAATTATTATTACTATAAAATTGTTAACCAAAATATGTATAGTACACGTTTAGCTGTATTAGTCCTTAGACAGCTTCGCCTTGATATACTGTAATCGTACGCCTTTAACATGTTATTCCATAGACCACTTGGATTGACTTTATTGTATGTCCCTAAAGTCCACCCATATTAGTCAGTGTCTTAGGGTTCCCTTAGTGTAGTCTGCATTTTATTGATTCAAGTTTAGAATGATATATACATGTATACAAAAACAAAACGCTGTGATACAATTTAATAAGTAGATATACTTGTTTTTGTTAATAAAGTTTTAGAGAAAAAAAAATCATGTTTTTATATTCATTTCCCATCAAGTCGACTAGGACTGGTGGTGGGAGATCGTATGAAGCATTAAATCAACTGTTTCGTGTCTCACCTGGTTGTTGCCGGTCTGACGTCAGTGTCACTATCTTACCTGGTTGTTGCCGGTCTGATGTAATTGTTACTTGTCTTACCTGGTCGTTACAACTGTGAAGTAATTGTGACATGTCTTACCTGGTTGTTGTCTCTCTAATGTCATTGCCACATGTCTTACCTGGTTGTTACCTGTCTGACGTCATTGTTACATGTCTTACCTGGTTGTTCACTGGATAACGTCATTGTTACAAGTCTTACCTGGTTGTTACCTGTTATTACCTGTCTGACGTCATTGTTACAATATTTACCTGGTTATTACCTGTCAAACCTCATTGCCATATTTCTTACCTGGTTGTTACCTGTCTAACATCATTGCCACATTTCTTACCTAGTTATTACCTGTCTGACGTCATTGTTACATGTCTGAGGTTATTGTGACATGTCTTACCAGGTTGTTGTCTGTCCAACGTCATTGTTACATGTCTTACCTGGTTGTTACCTGTCTGACGTCATTGATACAAGTCTTACCTGGTTGTTACCTGTCTGACGTCATTGTTACATGTCTTACCTGGTTGTTCACTGGATAACGTCATTGTTACAAGTCTTACCTGGTTGTTACCTGTTATTACCTGTCTGACGTCATTGTTACAATATTTACCTGGTTATTACCTGTCAAACCTCATTGCCATATTTCTTACCTGGTTGTTACCTGTCTAACATCATTGCCACATTTCTTACCTAGTTATTACCTGTCTGACGTCATTGTTACATGTCTGAGGTTATTGTGACATGTCTTACCAGGTTGTTGTCTGTCCAACGTCATTGTTACATGTCTTACCTGGTTGTTACCTGTCTGACGTCATTGTTAAGTGTCTTACCTGGTTGTTACCTGTCTGACGTCATTGATACAATTCTTACCTGGTTGTTTCCTGTCTGACGTCATTGTTTTTTGCCTTACATGGTTGTTACCTGTTTAACCTCATTTCCACATTTCTTACCTGGTTGTTCAATGTCTAACCTCATTGCCACTTTTCGTACCTGGTTGTTCCCTGTCTAACTTCATTTCTACATGTCTTACCTGGTTGTTACCTGTCTGACGTCATTGTTACATGTCGTACCTGGTTGTTACCTGTTTGACGTCATTGTTACTTATCTTGCCTCGTTGTTACCTTTCAGACGTCATTTATGCATGTCTTACATGGTTGTTACCTGTCTGACGTCATTGTTACAAGTCTTACCTAGTTGCTGCCTGTGTGACGTCATTGATACAAGTCTTACCTGGTTGTTACCTATCTGACGTCATTGTTACAAGTGTTACTTAGTTGTTACCTGTATGACGTCATTGATATAAGTCTTACCTAGTTGTTACCTGTCTAACCTCATTGCCACATTTCCAACCTGGTTGTTCCATGTCCAACCTCATTGCCACATTTTTTACCTGGTTGTTACCTGTCTAACATCATTGCCACATTTCTTACCTAGTTGTTACCTGTCTAACGTCATTGTTACAAATCTTACCTGGTTGTTGCCTGTCTAACGTCATTGTTACATGTCTTACCTGTTGTTACCTGTCTGACGTCATTGTTACACATCTTGCCTCGTTGTTACCTGTCTCACGTCATTGTTACAAGTCTTACCTGGTTATTACCTGTCTGACGTCATTGTTATAAGAGTTACCTGGTTGTTACTTGTCTTACCTCATTGCAACATGTCTTATCTGGTTGTTATCTGTCTGACGTCATTGTTACATGTCTGACCTCATCCTTACATGTCTTACCTAGTTGTTACCTGTCTTACGTCATTGTTACATGTCTTACCTGGTTGTTACCTGTCTAACCTCATTGCCACGTTTCTTACCTGGTTGTTCCCTGTCTAACTTCATTTCTACATGTTTTACTTGGTTGTTACCTGTCTGACGTCATTGTTACATGTCTTACCTGGTTGTTACCTGTCTGACGTAATGGTTACATATCTTTCCTCGTTGTTACCTTTCTGACGTCATTGTTACACGTCTTACATGGTTGCCTATCTGACGTTATTGTTACATGTCTTACGTGAGTGTTACCTGTCTGACGTTTTTGTTACATGTCTTACGTAGTATTTACTTGTCTGACGATATTGTTACATGTCTTACATTGTTGTTACCTGTCTAACCTCATTGCCACATTTCTTACCTGGTTGTTACCTGTCTGACTTCATTGTTACATGTCTTACCTAGTTGTTACCTGTCTGACGTCATTGCCACATGCTTTACCTGGTTGTTACCTGTCTAACCTCATTGCCACATGTCTTACCTAGTTGTAACCAGTAGTAGGAAAGTGCCTCTACAAATAGATGTAGTCAGGAAAATCCCAAATACATGAGAACACCCCCCCC